ACGTTTTCAAACAGCAATACAACTTGTATTACACAGTACACAGACTATAGTGTTACACTATTAGGAGCACATAACAAATGTAAGTAATTTTTTTTCCCTGAAGATTGGTCGAAAATATTATAGAGATCCGTTTGTATTTTTTTGTAGACCAATATTTTGAGAGCGAAATATTGACCAAAAATTCATAATATAGTTTTTATAACTTTTTTTTTTTTTGTTAATACCGTTTTTTCATCGCCATCGAATTTACATAATATTATATTTACTTTTTATGCCGTTGGTTTGTCCGTTTATTATTATTAGTAAAAAACAGTATTTTTTACTTTATACACTATTAAACGTTATTAGATGACATTACAGATGGGACATTGACGTATCGATTGGCCTTTATTGTGTTTCGTTTTTTCCGTCGCCTCGTAAACCTTAATAAGCTCTTAAGTCGGCATAAACGTGACTCGGTATACTTACACACACATTTCAAAAACGGTGTTGTTTACATTACATATTTTATTATTATTATATAAATATTTAAACGTAAGCAATACACCGTGTAATTATATTATCGCTCTGTGATGTGCTGTGTGTGTATCTTCATAAATTGTGTATTCTTTAGAAAAGATAAAAGAAAATATAAACGAGAAACGATACTGTTATATTATGTACCTATACATATTATTATTGAACGTTATTGCGAGTTTAGTATGATAGCCCGTAGGTATTGACTTATGGTTTCTCAGAAGACCGTACAATAAAACTTGGATGAAATTAATAATACACCTCTCGTCAGACTTGTGAAGTTTTGTCTAACTAAAGCTTTGTCTGAGCTGTCAATAGTCAAGTAGCTCTTAATTAGGATATCTACGTTTTATTTGCTTATACCTACTATTGTATTGAATACTAGTGAATAGACGTTTCCAATAATATGGAACGTGACTCTAAAAATGATATTTTATAATATTCCAATATTGTAACACTTGTTGCCATTAAAGTTCATTGCATCCGCCATAGCACTTTAAGGCGGTTTTGGGTCGAATCATTTGTTTATAGTGTCGTCATGTGGTATTTATAGTTGCATAATATTATATTCGTTTTCCAAAACAGTTTAATATAATCTCTGGTTACCGTAAAAGCTGATATTGTGTGTAATAATATCATTTTGTTATTTTGCAAACCTTGCTTTCAAATGTTATATCAAATTGCTGATCATTCTTAACGTCTTATAAAAACATCATATTTAGTACAAATTATGGTATACGTTGTTGTTAACGTAGAAATAATTATTTCTTTTATTCCAAGAAAACTACTAAGCGGATTCGAATTCAATTATAATATAATAAATATTATACTGTATGTCCTTATGTACGCTATTACTATTTCTTTGTCAAAGTATATTTTTACTTATAAATCACGATTAAAATTTTTTAAAACAACAATAACTAAACTTATTAACTATTATTAACTCACGTCCAAACAACCATGCTAAAATTATTCGAGTGTTAAAATTGGCAGTAGGTAATCAAATGCGTTATTATTGAGTCGGTTGTGCATTTAATGGGATGCATAAACCGCATTTTACTGGTTCGACCAGAAACCTCTACCACGACATTGTCGTTTAAATAATTGTCCGGGAATTAATTTCTATTAAAACCGTTCATGGAGCAGACTTAATTCGTCTGTCAGACATAATCAATAGAACGCATGTGATAAACCGAAAATCGATTTCGGGCCACGTCTCGGACAACTAAACGATGTTAACGTCATACACCACTGAACTTGGAAATTTGAGAAAATTACTCTAGAATTCAGTAGCTTTCATAAGTCATAATATTCATTAACATTGGATCACAGTGACCTAAAAATGACTCGAATTGTTTTATTCTTTTGAAAAGTGCTCTTTCTACTCCTTGTTACTATTCCAGACGCTTTCGACTTATAACCATATATTCCGTTTTATTGTCAGAACGACCGTTTCCACGTGTTTCTCGTACACACATGTGATTTGTTTTACTTTTCTTGTACGTTATTTCTTAAGAAAGCTATTTCGCCTGCAAACGTATACGAACACCCAACAGCTATCGTATTACGCCGAATTGTTCCGCCGTCAATAACATTAATTTCTTTTACCGACTTTCGCCGACACTAAGTTTGAGGAAAGCACATTTTTGTACAAATTCGATTGGATCGCGACCGGACCAGCGGGTGAAGTACACACAATAGAATATAGGCGGGCCAAAATTGCCATGGAAATTTAATTCACCGGAATCGCACGGTGTCTTGACCTGTTGGGCACCAAACTGGTACAGCCGAATTACTGCATTATTATTATTTGTACCTATGTCGCGCGTACGGAACGGACGACGACTAACGGGATAAATGGCCCGAGTCTCGTTTACATAATTTTATTATTGGAACTACCGTTTCCTATATTATTATTTATATTACCATGTTTCCTAAGCAGTTCCTGCCGAAACGACCCGGTGGTAAACGAAATACATACCACCTCTATAGTCACATTGGTCGTGCTTGGTTATGATAATATCAATATGATATAAGATATTATTACTTAAAACGCTGCGGGGGCACGCGATCGTCTGGCGGTTGTTTAACAATACATTTAACGGGTGTTCGCGTTGTTTTTTTCTTTCATAGCCCGGCCCAGGGCTTTTGTACGACAATAGTAAAACGCAGAAAGAAACCGTTTGGCGGTGACGGTTTTTCGTGAAATTGCATTCAGACTTGGCACTCGGTCGGACCGTTAACCACGGCGTGGTTTGTATCGATTAGGAGGCGACCACGTGTCTTTGGCGAAAAATGCTCCCCGGGGCTAGATTAATTTAGAGATAACATAGGATTCTCTTAAATATATATATATATATATTTTACACCGCGACTGATGTTTTTCATCTCCCGTCCACCATATATATATATATATATGTATACCGCAATGATTTATCGTTGCACCGAGTACCGTTTTATCACTATCCAACAGAATATTATACAATATTCACTGCCATCGCCGCGCCGTTATATAGCTGCTCGTGCACTCACATTTCAATGTAATCGAACTTCGGTTCGGTTTGGAGCGACACCGAAAAATTGTGCGCCGCAACACTATTAATTATTGTGTGTGCAGTGCGTGAAAATATAGCGTCGAGAAATACAACACAAAAGGACCCAAGATGACCGACAATGATACTACACGGTGGTGGTGGGTGATAAGAAGCGAGGTGTGGAACAGCTGAAACGGGAACGTTGATGAGCTGCAATGTCTGGATTAGAGATTTGAAACGAGTAAAAGTTTAGTTAGCCAAGAAGTCGTGTCCGGCCGTGTTGAAAGGAACGAAAACCGGTGTAGAGAAATTGAGTGGTGTAAGAAGTGGATCAAAAAAAAAAAAAGTGCTTTGTTTTGACAATACTGAGGTTACTGCACTGAAAAGCGGTGCGGTCGGACTGACCCAGACTTTTGTATATTTAAATCGACGACATGTTTTATTATCTTAATGGAATATAGCTGTAAATAACTTGGCTGTGAACTAGTCTCACAGTTATATGCGAATGGAACCTCTCGCTCGCTTGTACAGAATAATAAAAAATAAGCAAATGTGAAATGTTCGGGGAATCATATGTACGTTACTAGCAATGAGCCAGGGCAAGCATTTGTCGTATAGAGTTCAAGTTATTTATTATCCGGTCGTTGTAAAACGTAACTGTTCCCGCTTTATTGTAAAGCAGCTGTCATTTTTATGGTAAATATGAAAATATACATAGAAGTAGATATTTTCTAACGAACCGAATTACTCACACACAACGAACACCACCGCGTTAATATTTTATGAATTGTAAACTTTTTATGTTATGCAATTTTTTTTAGTGACGGTCCTTGACTGTCTTGGACTTTTTCTATTGAACTGTATACCATATAATATTATCGAAATTATTTCAACTTAACGGTTAATATATATTCTGATCCCAAAAAATTCAAACCAATTAATAATAATATTTTATTTATTTATGTATATTTTAGCATAATAATTGTAATGTCATAATATAATAAAAAAAATACAATTAAGCTGATAGAAAAACTAATAGAGCAATACTCGTGTCTGGTAATCGGTAATCTGTAAAGTTGTAAAGTTTTAATGTCGAAATTAATAATTAATACGTGAATAAATGTATTAATTATAGTTAAACTATACGCGTGAATTACTGATATTAATTACAAATTTGCATATGGGTCAAAATTGCTAAAGTTCTAATTTCACCCACAGAGGATGATATATTACTAGGAGAAGTGAGCGTGAATAAAATATTAATTGATTCACGTCCACAACATGATGATAATAATATGATAATCAAAGAACAATTCCGGAGAGAAGTTTTAATGAATTTGGAAGAACCAGTAGTAGATAATCATAATATAAAATATTTTCTTTTTAAAATAAATAATTTTAAAACTACGGTCAATATAAACGTAATTGTTTAAATTCAATCTCGAATTTTCAATCAAAAATGAAGAAAGATATACGTTTATGTTTATTCGATTTTACCGTTGCTTCTGTAGTATAATTAGGTATTTTTTGCAATAGCAACAATTACTATTATTAAAACAAATTTACACTTTTAAAAATCACTTACTTTATTTATGGAGACTGGGCATATAACTTATAAATAGTGTTGGTATAATTTTAAAAATACAATTTAACAAATGTATTATGTTGTAGTCTGTATCAACAACTAATGTTATCGTGCTAAACGATAGATAATGTTTTTTTTTTAATTTTGAACTATTGAAAATTTATTATAAATTGTAGTATTAAATTGTAGTACTAATTATTATAGACTTAGGTTCTCATAAGTCATGGATATTGACATTAATCATTTGTAGTAAAAATACCCGCAATAGACAAGTGTCATACAACTGAAAAACAAAAAAATACTGTATTTTTACACATCTGCCTGTTGGTAAATTAAATAATAATTATTAACGGGATGCTTTCCAGAACGTGACTATTGGTACGAGGAAGCTCGGTCGGCTCTGAACAAACGTCTGGCTGGTTTCGACGGGAAACTAGGCCGAGCGAAAAACGTTGTGTTCCTGGTCGGCGACGGTATGGGTGCGTCCACTCTGACTGCATCCAGGATATTCAAAGGTCAACGCCGAGGCAACCAGGGCGAAGAAGAAGAATTACTGTGGGACACTTTCCCCGCAGTTGCAATGGCCAAGGTAAGATGGATCATTATGAGGAAACACGATTTTCCTGTTAAATAATCCTATTAGTGACTGTTAGCAATGACAAACTGCGATACCGCAATGTATTGTAAACAACGGCTGTTTTATTTTTAAGGCAATTCGAAAATATGCACTACGTTGTGCTTACAAAAGAGTTTTAAATCTTTTGATAATATGTTTTTTCTACAAAAAAAAAGATAAAAGTTTCTTATTTTGTTTTTTTCCGTGCGTTATACTCTATGGACTTGTGGTCGTTTGAAATTCAAAAATTAATTAAATTTTATACATTTAATACACGGATAAGATCTCATTCGCCGAGAGTTGCAAAGAAGTAAGTGGTAGCTTTGCATTTAGCATAATATTGTTATTTATTAATATTGCCTCCTAGATTACAATACAGTACAGAGCAATATAATGAATATTATAAGCAAACGATTGTGTATAAAGATTCAAGTTTTGAAGAAATTTGCTTAAAAAAGATTAATACATATCATACACATCGGAAATACAATTTTTATTTTACTCTCTTGTAACATTTTTTTTTTTAATTACTTGCCTCCTTTTGATTCTTTTCTTGTTTTAATTGAAATAGATGTTAATAACGTTAATGTATTATACAATTCAAATTTCAATTATCGCCAAAATATGTTTTGAGTAGGTACACATTTGTTTTTTAATTATCCATTAATAAAATCAGAATAACGTTTTATATAACTCAATTAATATTTAATTATCTTTTTTCTTTTTTTTTTTTTACTATTTATAAACTATGTTTAGAATTTTGGTGACCCTATACATTGTTTATGTTACAGTACCTGCGGAAGTATTACGTTATTTAAAAGGGGTTACTTTTAATTAAAAAAAATTACAATGGCATTTTTTTATATTGGTTGTAATATATTTAATGTTCAACATTTTTTGTAAAACGCATTGTACACATTTTAAATTTAATAAGCAAAGTTCAAAATCAACGTTGGAATCTCGAAGCTGCCGGTTTAAAAAAAAAATTAAGTTAAACTTAAAAGTAAGGATGTCCTTAGAGCGTGGAAGGGAGTCTTTGCCATAGCTAATTGATTTTTTTTTCTTGTTATAAAAGGTGCCAAAGATTAAAAATGGCTAAACTTACTGGGATGTTTTTCGAGTGACACATTGCAACTAAACAGCAGTTTTTTTAATGTTCGCGAAAGACTTTAGGAAAATTGCATTTTTAAACGACTCAACCTTACACCCGAATATCATTGACAACTTTGGATCTATTGATGACGGCATAAATCATAAATATTAGCCCATTTAGCCTATTAGCCCTTGCCAATTTAAGAACAGTTCGACTGTTTATGATAATAATACTATATAACCATTTCTTATAAGCAAATTTTCCCTTTTTAAATATCGGAAATGAATGGAAAAGTTATATGTGACGAAATTAATACAAATTCTGTGTCGAATATATCCATTTAATTTTGCGTCGATTCATCACCAATATGAGAATTGAGATGAATCAGAATACATAAGGCACTTCTATGTGTATGCAGAGGTACATGGGTATTTACCATAATATATGCACGTGTAAAATGTATATATTAATATAATCTATTCAAATGAGCAATATTGTCGTAGACATACCTCACTAGATAACTATAAACTTCCCGTCAATTCATTAAGAATTTCGTTTAATCATAACGTCTTACGCCAATTTCACTAGTTAATACTTAATACTGACTAAATATTCTATTTGAAGTTTAAAACGGTCAAATTACAATTGAACTCGGTAAAATAGCTATACTCGTAATTCTTAGATTTTAGGATTTATGTTCATAAAAAAACTAGTAATTCTATTTTCTTATTACCAATGATGTCGTTGGTAAGAGTCTATTATTATAAATTCAAATTTATAATAGTCTTATAATAATCCTAAGTATATAATTTTATATTTCATTCGTCGACTGTCATTTAGCATTTAAACATAATACAATATTGGCAGTTCACTAGAATAAAGTCGCGTCTCTATCTCTTTTAGATAATATATTAAAAAACAAAAAATGTATATATATATATATATAATATGAATATCCTATAGAATACATAATATACCTAATACTGGAATTCTACCTAGAAATTAAAAATAACTTTTTGGGGATTGTTCTTCAAAAATATTTAATATAAAATTCTATAATTCTTATTGTGCTGTCTTACTTTTACTAAAATTGTTTTTTTTAATGTAAAATAAGAGTTATCAGCAATTTCAGGGAAAATTGTCGGAAATACCATAAGAAGCTCATAACAAGATCATTTCTGCTCCCTTATAGAAACTAAAGAGTTTAAATAGATCCACGCAATATTTTATTTTTTGATGTGGAGTTGAGTAGGAATTGTTTTTGACAATGTGTTTTTTTTATGTAGGTATTTCACTTCATCTAAGATATAGCTACAACATTTACAATTGTTTATAAGTGCAATATTTATTTAAAAATAAGTAGTATGAGAATAAAACTGCACAGCTAACCTTCACTTTGTTTATTTTTAAACTATTCGATTTTGCGTTATTCGAATTTAATCCGTTTAAGCGTATACGAAATTTGTATACAGGTTTTTGGCTTTGATATTTTTTTTTTATACAACACTTATTTTATGATAAAAAAAAAAAAAGAGAGCACATAGAAATGAAAAGTATTTTAATACTGTTCATGTGTAAAAATTGTGCATTTTCGAAAATAAAAAATCGTATACCTTTTTTGAATGTATCGTCTAACTGAAAATATGCTTGTATATTAAATTAATAAAAAATGATTTATTTTTCTTTGATCTAAAAAATAAGATTGCACAAACGTTATTTGTTTTACGATGTAGATTGAAATTGAAGGGTGCGCCGAATAAAATAATGGTTAAAAAAATGATATCAACAATTTTAAAAAGTCCAATAAATAAAATATTGAATACACGAAAACCTTAGTATATGATATTGCATTTTTAAAATAACGCGCAAAGCGTAAAAACATAGTGTGTATTTTTTTTTTCAAATATAATTATGTACGGTGTACGGGCTACATACATACACCGTGTATGTTATCGTTAAAATACCAATTTGGGCGACCTCTATCGTCAAAATCATCATCATAATAATAAAATGAAAATATGAATTTGAAGTTGATTGATTGCGGAAACTATAGACAACTGAACCGTTCATTCAAAGTAGCTGTAATTTATCAATTTGATCGGCTAAAGTCATTCTGAGGGAAAAAGTATTATTTCCTAAACGTTTTCCCATGTAATTTGATAATCTTCGAGCTAATTTTTGGGAAATTAAAATAAGTCGTATGAAAAGATACAAAATATATTTACAAATGTTTAAATCTTTATCGATTTTATAAAAGACAAATGAGTAATTATTTTCAGCTTTTGGCTTTTGCTAATCTGGCTTTTTCTAATCTTTAAAGTGTGTACATAAAGAAATCGGTCTACTGAATTAAAAAGTAGGTACATTTTAAAATTCCGGAGGACATAATATACAAGATCAAAATGATTCTGTATTTGATCAAACACTGCGATTTGGGTGGAATCTATTGTAAAATTGCAATTGTACATTGCTACTGTAAAAGTAATTTATAGTAGATATTAAAACGTACCAAGAAGTAAATTTACCTTAGTAAAGGTACATTTTATGATTTCCAGAATTTCTGATAGCAAGACCGAACAGAACTACTGTTGGTTCGTTTAGGTATTTTAAACAGAATTATGCAGAATTATTTTACTGGTCCTTCATTTTTTAGACACTCGATAAGACATTTTTTACACGGTCACTATATCGTGTGGGCCGCCGTGTTTAATAGAGGCTTCTTCCGGAGTACTTGTGATACGAATCAAGTGCCGCATCCCGAATTCACATTTCCCGATCGGTCCCCTCCGGATAGTCTTCTGTTTGTTCGAGCGAATGGTGTTCGGAATTCGTGATATTTGTTCGACCGTCACGTTTTTTACCCTATTCCAGCGGTGCGGTGCGGTGGTTATCCCTGCTCGGCGTCGCCAAAAAAATATACATTTATTTTGCATTTTAAAATTCCATGGCGCGTTGTCGAACATACCTTGTGTAAAATACATTTCCCGATCTCGTGACCGACATATTCGAGACATTTTCGCGATACTTACCCACATATGTATACCCAAAGACACCAAGGCCAAGATCGGGGACCATCGCCGTCGTCACGGTTCACCGGACTAGTCCAAAAGTTAATTACCGAGTAACCCAAGTAGTCCATCGCGGATCGACCGCCGTCTCGGTCACGCTGACACATGGCTCACATATAATCCGTACCGAGATTGCCAAGTTTAATCACGCTAATGCAAAGGCGTTTTATATGGGAATCCTCTAATCCACGATTCCGCGCATAGGGAATTGATCCCGTTAATATTGTTACAAAAAAAAAGGTACCCAGTACATATTGTTATCCGATTTCCAGGTACCTATATAGGTGTAGTTTTTAAAGTGTTGTTCGCCATGATATCGATCCCGAAGTCTTGTGGAAAGATTAAACAAAGGCGACGATAATTATGTGTACTCACGAGTTCCGCAAGTGGCAACGTGAAAAACAAATTATTATACCGACCGCTGTTGTGTGCTCACGTCGTTCGGCAAGGAGACCAATAAAAGTAGTAAAATATACAACTTAAATAAATAAACAACAGTCTTGAACAAATATTTTGTAAAAATACTTGCAGAGTTTATTATTATTTTCTTTTTTTATTCCTCCACGGTCAAGTTTGCGACTTGCGAAGAAAAACGCCATTTTATTACGAGTTACCTTTTAAAATGATGATCTTTGATTAATATTACCTTCGTCGTGGCGTTGTTTTCATAAATTCAAACTCTAAATGTAGTATTTAAAAGATGCTCACTCTTACAGCTTGACTATGAGTATTATCGTTTTTATTAAAATGCCAGATTCTAGTGGAAAAAAAAATCGTTTAATGTAACCTAATTTCTTGCACGTGACAAATCC